GGGACACATCGAGTGGCTGCCACCCCCACGACCAACCAGGGCCGGGGACAAACTGCAACCGAAGTACGTGCCCTTAGCGGGAACCGAACCCTGGTCTCTCCGGACCGCAGGCCAACACTCTAACCGCTGAGCCAAACCAGCCAGGGCTACTTTCTAGTTCTTTAAGTTGTAGGGTTAGATAGTCAATTAGAAAGTTTTCCTGTTTCTTGAGGTAGGCCTGTATTGCTATGAACTTCCCTCTCAGGACTGCTTTCACTGGGTCCCATAGATTTTGTGTTGTTGTGTGTTCATTTTCATTGATTTCCGGGAAGTTTTAAATTTCTTCCTTGATCTCATTGGTAACCCATTCATTGTTTAATAACACGCTATTTTGCCTCCAAGTGTTTGAATGTTTTTGAGTGTTTTTATTGTAATTAATTTCTAGTTTCATGTCATTGTGATCTGAGAAGATGCTTGATATGATTTCAATCTTCTTGAACTTGTAGAGACTTAGTTTGTGTTCTAATATGTGGTCTATCTTTGAGAATGTCCTGTGTGCACTTGAGAAGAATGTGTATTCTGTGGTTTGGGGTTGTAATTCTCTGTAAATTTCTATTAAATCCATTTGATGTAGTGCATAATTTAGAGTCTCTGCTTCCTGTTAATTTTTTGTCTAACAGATCTATCCAGTGAAGTCAGCGGGATGTTGAAGTCCCCTGCTATGATTGTATTGCTATCAGTTTCTCCTTTGAAGTCCTCCAGAAGTTTTTTAATATATGCTGTTGCTCCTATATTGGGTGCATATATGTTTACCAAGGTTATAACTTCCTGTTGGATAGATCCTTTCAATATTATGTAGTGGCCTTCTTTGTCTCTTATTGTGGACTTCATTTTGAAATCTATTTTATTGAATATGAGTATAGCTACCCCAGCTCTTTATTCCTTTCTGTTTTCTTGGAAGATTTTTTTCCATTCCTTCACTTTTAAACTATGTGAGTCCCATTGTTTTTGCTTTTTAAAAGGCAACTGTCATCAAAACAACAATGAGGTATCACCCCACACCTGTCAGAATGGCCGCCATCAACACATCATCAAACAACAAGTGTTGGCGAGGGTGTGGAGAAAAGGGGACTCTAGTGCACTGCTGGTGGGAATGCAGACTGGTGCAGCCACTATGGAAAAAAATATGGTGTCACCTCAAAAAATTAAAAATTGATCTTCCATTTGACCCAGTGATCCCACTTCTAGGAATATGCCCTAAGAAGCATAAAACACCAATAAGAAAGAATATATATGTACCCCCATGTTTGTAGCAGCACTATTTACAATCGCTAAGATCTGGAAACAGCCCAAGTGTCCATCAGTAGACGAATGGATCAAAAAGCTGTGGTACATATACACAATGGAGTACTATGTAGCGGTAAGAAAGAAAGATCTCTTATCATTTGAGACTACATGGAGGGACCTGGAAAGTATCGTCCTAAGTGAAACAAGCCAAACAGAGAAAGACAAGTTTCATATGATCTCACTTATTTGTGGAATATAATGAACATAACAGTTTGAGGAATGGGGTAGTCCCAGAGACGCGGAAGCGGGGTACAGACTGACAATCCCCTAAAGAGGGCGGAGGGGGGGAGGGATGAACCACAGAATTTATATGCATGTATGCATGAACAGTGGACATGGACAACAATCTGGGGAAAGGGCAGGAAGGGAGGGGGAGAGGGGAATCAGTGGGGGAAAAAGGAGAAACATCTGTAACAAAAATTAATCAATTAAAAAAAAAAAAAAAAAGGCAACTGTCAGCATAACTGTTGCTTCCTGAGGGTTATCTGTCTTTTCTCTCTGACTGCTTAGTGTGTGTGTGTTTTCTACAATTTTAGTATGACATTTCTAAAGGTTGATTTCCTTTTCTTTAATCTGCTTGAGATTCATTGAGCTTCTTGAATCGGTGAATTTATGTACTTCATCAGTTCTAGAAACTCTTAGCTACTAACTCTCCGAAATAACCTTGGAACCATTCTCTCTCCTCTCCTTCTGGAAGTCTGATTAAATGTTATATTAAACATCACACACACACACACGGATAATTCTAATTGAAGTTTTGTAGATATGGTTCTTGTCAGTGGTGCCTTGTTCCTCTGTGTGCTTCATAATCTTTGAACACATGCTATTAATTGTCCTTGAATTTATTTGAGATTTATTGGAGGTCAAGACAATGTTGCCTTCTTTTAGAGAGCATTTTTATTAGCTTCTGTCAAATGCCTGGAGCATTCCCATTTGGGAACATTTTAAAATAAATTCTAACTCTGAGGCTTGGTATTTTTTTATTTTGCTTTGTTTTGTTTTACAATTCAGTTGATATTGTATTTGAGCTACAAAAACACTTGAAGAGCCCAGCTGGTATGGCTCAGTGGATTGAGCATTGTGCCATGCACCAAAAGGTTACCACTTCGATTCCCAGGCAAGACACATGCCTGGGTTGCAGGCTTGATCTCTAGTGGGGGGTGCGCAGAAGGCAGCTGATCAATGTTTCTATCTCTCTCTCCCACTCCCTTCCTCTATCTTTCTTTAAAAAAAAAAAAATCAATAACAAAAACACTTGAGGTACCTGCCCTTGCTGCCCACTGCATGGATTAAAGGTGCACACTTGCACCCCATTGTCTTGGTCCTTCGGTCTGGGTCTGTGGAGCACAGCAGTCATAATCAGCTACATCATGCTCTCCAATGACATCAAGATGCCCATCATGAGGCTGGGCACTTGGAAGTACCCTCCGGGCAAAGTGACAGGCTGTGAAGGTGGACATTAACCTTGGGTACTGCCACAATGACTGTGCCCACGTGTACTAGATTAAGAACAAGAAGGGGTGGCTATCCAGGAGAAGCTCAAGGAGCAGGTGGTGAAGCGTAAGGACCTCTTCATCATCAGCAAGCTGTGTTCCACGTACCATGAGAAAAATCTGGTTAAAGAAGCCCGCAAGAAGATACTCAGCGACCTGAAGCTGTACTACCTGGACCTCTACCTTATCCACTGGCCAATTAGTTTCAAGCCCGGGAACAAATTTTTCCCATTGGACAGGAAGGGCAACATGATTGCCTCTGGCATGGATATTTCGGACACGTGGAAGGCCCTGGAAGAGCTGGTGGGTGAAGGGCTGGTGAAAGCTTTTGGAATCTCCAACTCCAACCATCTCCAAATCGAGAGGATCTTAAACAAACCTGGCTTAAAACATAAGCTGGCAATTAACCAGATCAAGTGCTACCCATGCCTTAGGAGAAGTTAATCCAGTATTGCCAATCCAAAGGCATTATGGGGATGGCCTACAGCCCCCTCGGCTCTCCCAACAGGCCCTGGGCCAAGCTGAGGACCCTTCCTTACTGGAGGATCCCAGAAGCAAAGCCATAGCTGACAAGTACAAGAAAACCACAGCCTAGATTCTGATCCGGTTCCCCATACAGCGGAATTTGGTCATGATCCCCAAGTCTGTGAGCCCTGAATGCATCACTGAGAACTTCCAGGTCTTTGACTTTGAGCTGAGCAGTGAGGTTGTAACCACCTTACGCAGCTACAACAGGAATGAGAGAGTCTGTGCCTTGGTGAGCTGTTTCACCCACAGCAGTTATCCGTTCAAGGAAGAGTTTTGCAGCTGTGGGTGCCTGCTCTTCCCAGGCGCCCTGCCGCCATCCTTCCTGCCTCATTCCTCCTGTGTGCCGTGTGCGTGGCTGTGTCCCTCAGCAGCAGGGCAGCCACCTGCAGCAAGGCGTGGCCAGCCTGGAGTTGGGTCCGAAGAACAGTCTCAGTAGATTAGAGGTCTCTTCCAGTTTTCTTTGCTCTTGTCCAGTTTTCTTTACTTGTTGTCCAGCTCCTAGGGAAAGTATAACCTCGATACCCTTTTCTAACTAAGTTGAATCTACAAAGTGAAAATTGGTGCCACTAACAATTGGATTTTGGCTGCTCAGAACTGTAATCCTTTCAGCCAGACTTCTCCTTGCCTCAAATAAAAAGTACTTTTGTGAGCTTGAAACACACACACACACTTGAAGATTAGCTTGTAGTTACAACACCCTAATGACTTTTCTGTCTTGCTCTGCTTAACAACAAAACCATCTGAGTAGGGGTAGCCAGGCTTACTTATGGCTCACCCTTTTTCTCAGTGGATAGACTTTGTAGTCCCAGCTTAATGTGAGGACAGATTCTCTTGTTGAACTTTTCCCTGAGTGGGCTCTGGCCTTTGAATTCTCTTTCTCTCACCTCTAGACCATCAAAACACCAAGTCTGAAGATGTCCTCAGGGAAAAACCTAAGAGTTCAAAGATACCCCAGATAGCTGGTTCTTGGACCTCTGAGAAGGGGCACAGCCTGGTGCCCAGAGGCAGGACCCCATGGGTAAGGTCTAGTGCATGGTTAGTACTCAGACAGCAGGGGGCTGTGGCTGCCGGTACTTCTGAGAGGGTACAGCCAGGCTGCTGCTGGGACCTTCATCACTTATTATCATTCTCCTTCCAGTTTTAGCTCCCGTTACATCATATTTCTCATTTCCCACATCATCATGAACCTTTGTACAGATCTTCCTCTGCCTGGAACACCATTTTGGCTCATCTGCCTGGTGCTTTGGTAATTAGTCTTCAAAACACTGCTCAATATCACCTTCTCTGTGAAGTCTAACTCCCACCTCTCCACCCCCGGCTCTGGAGTCCATGCGCGTGGCGCCCCCTTGTGGTCCCTTCATTTAGAGCTGAATGGAAGGATGTGTGCAAGTCTTGAATAGAGGACCTTGTTTGTTGCTGGACCTCTCCTTGCTGACCTAATTGACGAAAGGAGGCGTTCCAGCTGAGGGCACGTGGCTGCACACTGTGGCTCAGGGGGTGCGGGGGCTGTACCTGAGGGCAGCTGAGGGCACGTGTGGGTGGCAGCTGTTCCGATTGGTCAAAGGAAGTGCAAGCCAGAGAGGCCCAGAGCTCTGCCGCATTAGCTTTGCCATCACGTCAGACTTGCAACTTCGCCTTGGGCCACTTCCAGCCATGAAGCTCCTTTGGCTGACTTTGATTGCACTGCTGCTCTTTTCCCAGCTCACTCCAGGTAGGTCACATTTCAGAGCAACGTAGAGAGGGCAGCATCACCAGCAGCAGGAGCCGGATATCAGGTACCAACTAGGACATCCAGAACTTCTGGCCAGCCACCCCATCACTGCTCCCCCAGCAAGCATGCCCAGGTGGCCTAGCGCCAGTGAGAAAGAATAGAGGGAGTGGGCGAGAGAAGCAGGAAGAGAGGATAGTAGTGACCCTTTCACAAAATAGTTCCCAGTGCGATCTAGGCCATGTAAAGGTCACAACCACCGTAACAGGTGGAAAAAAAACTCCTATTTACTATTGCTGTCTCTGTGCCAGACCCTGTGTTGGGAGCCAGGATCACGAAGATAAGTGACATGGCCTAGGGGAGATGATAAATAACATTGACAGCCCAGAGTGGCATGAGCTGTGATAGAGGGAGCCAGGAGGCGGGGGCTGCACATGGGGTGGAAGGGACCAGCCTGAGGGCCAGGGGAGTCCTCCCAGAGGGATACTCCATTGTCCTGAAAAGTGTGTGGAAGTTCAAAGAGGAAGGAAAAGAGGTGGAAATAGGAAGGGTGTCCCAGGCAGAAATCAGCTTATGTGGGGGTCCATGTGGGAGAGACCACGGTGCCTCAGGGAACTGGCACAGGTGGTGGTGTGGGTTAGGGGTGTGGCAAGGTAGAGCTGAAGATGGGCCTGGAATGCCAGTGCGGGAGCCATGGGAAGGCTTAGGCAGAGAAGGACCATCCTCAGACCTGCCCGTTCCACCAACTCCAGCTCGAGCTGGCAGGCCCCTCCTGCTCAACTGCCAGAAGCTTCTGCCCACCCCCAGGTTTTGGTCTAACCTTTCCAGGTGTCAGAATGTGTGAATTTTCCTCAAACGAGCTGACCTCAGCCCTTGCATCTGTCTGTGGAAAAATGCCTGCAAGCGCCCGCCAGGGGTGGAGAGGAAGCCCTGGGATCCGGGTTGGAAGTGCCCCAGCATTTTCCAACTCTGTGACCCCAGCAAGCAGCTTCGCTGCTCAGTTTCAATTTCCTCACTTCTCAAACCGTTGCAACGGGGTGTGCACAGCAATATCAGGTGGAGGGAACAACAATGAACACACTGACATTTTGGTGCGCAAAGAATGCGGCTTCTCTATTTTGTGTAACTCATCTGAATTTTCCCAGGAATTCCAACCTACTGGTGGGCAGTTGGGAGTGGGGGTGGAGCACAGGAGCTGTGCATATATACTCATCTTTTCTGGTTTAAAATGGTTAGCAAGTTCATTCTGTCTCTTTTGAATAAATATTCCGTCTTTCAGCATTTTCCCCTTCTTATGCTCTCCTTCTCCTTTCCAGCATAGCATCTGGGTTTAAGAGAAAGTAACTTGATATATCATAATTTCATTCACTAGTTCATTCAATAAACATGGTTGGATGGATTTCATGTTCCAGGCAATGTGACAGGAGCAGAAAACAGAGGAGTGAACAAATCAGAACCAAACAAGATGAGCAAAATCTCTGTCCTCTTGGAGCTTACATTCTATTGAGGGAGGCAGAAAAAAATTAAAATTAATGACACATATGGAATGATGACTATAGTGAGCAGAATTGACAGGAAAATGGGATAGCAAATACGAGGGAGTGGAGTTGCCATTTTAAAGGTGTGCTCATGGAATGGCTCATTGTGATCTGAGGGAGGATAAGGGGTGAGCCATGTGTATTTGCGAGGAAGAACATTCAAGCTGGGGGAATATCGGGTGTCAAGGTCCTGGGCCAGGAGCATGAGGAATTGAGATAGGGCCCTGTGCTGGACCTTTGTTGGCTTTTGGGATGATGTCCCTCATTGTGTGTGGTCAGTGAGTATCCTGCTGGCACTTGCTACTGGATCCCATGGCTGATGAAATCTCAGTCCTGTCCAGAGCCCCACTGACTCAGCCCTTTATCTCAGCTAAATCTTTCCACCTGGCCCTTAGGTGTAGGCTGCTCACACCCCTTCCCACTGCCTTATGCATAGAGGTCTACTCTTGGCAAGTCGCTGAGGCTCTTAGCTTCTCACTGGTTTTCCTACCTCTACCAGAGAAACAGGGAACTTAGGGACCTTCTGGATCTATTTTATGCCACAGGAGAGCAAAAGGAGATGCTCAGCCATTTCTAATCCTCTCCAGATGGCACCATGATGCACTATGTCCAGCCTATTAGCAGTCACTGGGCCATGTAAGAGACAAGGGGTAAATGCTGGCCCTTTGTCCAGCCCAATCTGTGTGTTTGTAGCCAAAGACTCTCTTGGCCTTGCCTTTCTCACATTAGTTATCTCTGTGTCCTAGAGCCACCAGCAGCCGACAGTGGGGAAGGGGTGGGAAGCCTTGGTTCCTAGCGTGCTGGTAGCCTGCCATCAGCCCGGCTGGCCAAGGTGGGGTGTGAGGTTCCAGAGGAGCTCTCAGGCCTGTACCTGCTGCCTTTGCTGTAAAAAGCGGATTTCAGTGCCCAGTTTCCCCTAGGGAGAGCATTTCCCTCCTACTTTCTGTTGGGTGTGATGGCGGTAACAGAGATTGAATGGAAGTTTCTTTAGCTGGACCCTCGGCCTTTGCCTCCTATGGCTTATGGTGAGGTGGTACTATCTGAATTTATCAGATTCGCCTAATCATATGGAAAGGAGCTCTTTGAGGTTGGAAATCCTGGCTGTTCTACCTACATTTGTTGTCTTAAAATTGTTGTCTTGTTATGAACTAAAACTACGCACCTCATTTAAGCTGACAACAACTTTGTCATTTTAACTGTTCTTTACAGTTTCCTTAAAATAAAGCCCAGAAACAGCCCGAATCTGCTTTTTGGCAACCAAAATTAAAGGGGAATGAAATATATGGTACTTCAATATTTTCAAACTATTAAAGTTAGGTTAATTGTGGGAATTCCAGACATATATGTGAAGCCCAAGAACCCAGAAAATATTAGGTTTGGGTGGGACATGTCACCAACTTCTCCTTATGCCTCCTCATAGCACTCAAGAGTTCATCCTTATACCGTTCATTACAACTCTAGTCAATCAAATAGGCTGAGCAGCTATTTCTTTAACGGCTATTTCTTCCCCACCAGGCTGGAAATTCTCTGAGGGCAGCGTCTATCTCTAACTTGTTTCTAGTTTATCTCCAATACAACTATATTCTCAATTTATACATGTGAATATTTCTGTAGGACAGACATCTAGAAAGAAATGTGCTAGGTAAATTCTGTGCCCAATTTTAAAATGTGTGAGTCATTGCTCAGTAGCCTCCAAAGAGGCCCAAAGTGCATGTTCATCTTGACACTCTTTAATTTAAAATTGGGATTTTATTGTTAAATGGTGGGGGTTTTGTTCTTTATCATTTTGTTGTTGTTGTTGTAAAATAAAACACAGAATTACAGATTATGAAAACCACATAAAACAAATGCACAGCTTAATGAATTGTTATAAAGTGCATAACCTTGTAACCACCATCCAGGTCAATAAATAGAACATTGACAGTCACCCAAAAAACCCCACCACAACTGTCTCCCTCCCCCAAATTAAGCAATGTCATGACTTTTATAGCAATCAGTTCTTTGCATTTCTTTATAGTTTCATTGCTCAGGATGCATCCCTAGACACCCTTTTTTTTGTCGTGTTCACTTTTAAAATCTGACATGCCTTAAAATTTTTTTAATTTAATGGTCACATCTCCATCCCTTTCTTGTCTTTAGAATTTATCTGGTTTTCTGGCATACCAAAATATTCCAGGCTCATCTTGTACAATTCCTGCCACAGATCATGAAAGCCGTTTCTTTAAGAAGCTCTGATATTTTTTAATAGGAAATGGTATTTCAGAACTATGATCTAGTTGCTAGAGATTCTCAATGCTACTAAATTGGCCCTTTCTTCATCTTTTCAGTAGGCAGAGATAGGAGGGAAAATCAACACATTTAAATGTATATAAAGCCTGGCTGGTGTGGCTCAGTGGTTGAGCGTCGACCCATGCACCAAGAGGTCGCTGGTTCTATTCCCAGTCAGGGCACATGCCCAGGTTGTGGGTCAAATCCCCAGTGGGGGGCATGCAGGAGGCAGCCAATAGATATTCTCTCTCATCGATGTTTCTACCTCCCTCTCCCTCTGCCTTCCTCTCTCTCTAAAAGAAATAAAAGAAAAAAAAATTAAAAGTAAATAAATAAAGGTATATAAAATACCTCATAAATTCATATTGATACTTTCTATTCCAAGTGAGGCCTACAGGATTTGCATGTAAAATATTCCATATTTCTTCTGTCTTTTCTTCCTTCCACATCAACATTCTCAGATACGCTGTGCACTTCTTCAGTGTTTTCAAGTCCTCCGTTATTGAAGGGACATCTTGAATTACAGTTTGAGTATTTTTTCTGATATCTTGCTCTACTTTTTTTCTCAAGGTCTCTTCTTGTCTCTATGTTGAATTTCCTTTGCCTATCTTCAGTATTTATCACTTTCTGTAGAATTTTTCTTATTATTTCTTTTTTGGTCAGTTTTACTGAGTTAAAAATTATATAAAATAAAATGCCCATATTTTAAGTATACAATATGAGTTTCAACAAATGTATACATTCATGTAACCACCGCCACAATCAGCATTAACACATTTCCATCACCCCAAAAAAGATCTCTCATGCCCTATTGCAACCAGTCACCTCCCCTGCCCCCAGCCTCCAGAAAACAGTGATCAACATTCTGTCACTTCAGTTTGGCCTTTTCTAGAATTAGGAAAGACAAACAAGGATGGGTTTTTAGCTACAGGAAATGCCGTTGCCTCCTATCAAGGAAAAGCATCAAGTCATTTACAGAAAAGACCGACAATAGTAAGTCCACGTTCCAATTCTTGAGATTAAGGGGGATAATGGTTCCTTTCCATGTCCCACCTTCACTGTTTTTCCAGGGTTATTAAACTGGCTGATGGGACAAATACTGGACCTAACCTCATGATTCCATTAAAACTTCTCCATCAATGTTATCTTGGAAGAGTTTTCAAGTTTTCTTTTCTGTAATGGGTCAGATTTTGCACCACGCTCCATTTCAGACAGTCCAGAAACTGTATCTGATTGAAGTAAACACCCCAATTTCTCTCAAATTTTTTTTTCAGAAACAGGTGTTTATCATTTCAGTTTGCTCAAGGTTCCAAAGACATTTTAAAAGATAATTAAAAAAAAAAAAAGTAAACTCCTGGCTCTCCTAACTATATAAAAATGAACATGTGTTAAAGATTTCATTTAATTCATAATGACAGTATGAGGCAGATTTTATAACTGGGTCAAAGCATAGATATAATATGGAGTAAAGGAGTGCTGGAAGGAATTTATAAAAAGATAAAAACGCATCCACCCCTGCCCCCTATGCTGAAAAGGAGAGTCTATGAACCTCTATGGAACAGAATATATTTGTGTAGGTGTAGAAAACAATTATTTTGCACTACTATCATTTGTCAACAGCTCACAGTTGTAAAATAACTCCCACGTTATCAAAATCAGAAAACTCTGAAGGTTGTGATCTATCTAGACCAGGGAGCATTGGCATTATTGGCAAGTGGTGACATTTGGGGCTGGACAGTGCTGTGTTGTGGCTGTCCTGTGCATGGCAGGATGTTTAGAGGAATCCTCACCCGCCACGCAGTAATTGCCACGGCACCACCACCACCAGTGGTGACAATTAAAAATGTCTCCAAACATTCCATTGCCAAATAGCCCCTGGGGAGCAAAATCACCCAGTCGAAAGCACTGCTCCAGACAACGCATAGTTTTCCATTGAGCACAAATTTTCCCCCATATTGGTCAAAAGATAATCTCAAAGAAAACTGATTCCTGATCACAAAATAAACCTGTTCTAAATCTGCAGCAGAAAGAAGGAAACAACTAAGACTAAATTACAAATTAACGAAATTGAGAGTGGTCATGGCACTGAACTATCTAAAGAAAATAGTTTAACTGAGACAAATAAAGGTTACAGGTTTTATTCAGCTGATGGACATCAGGGAGCACCTGAAAATCCAAGTCCAAGCAAGCTTAGAATTTTTAAAGAATAAAGAAGAGGAGGACAATGTCTTTGTATGGCTTAAGTAGCAGATTTCATCTTTAACTGCTGCAAAATTTGTAGTTAGAACAGTTGGGAAGTGTTCCAGATTTCTGCACCTTTTGGTTGAGCCCACCCCCAGCATCGTCAGAGAAGTTCTTTCTAAAGCTGTTTTGCAGTTTGTCAGTATTCTGGGACAAGAAAAGTATCAAAAACAATATGGATGGATATTGTGGCTGGAAGAAGGGAAAATGGGGAATTATTGTTTAATGGCTATAGAATTTCAGTCTTACAAGATGAGAAGGTAGGGATGGGTGGTGATGGTGGATGCAAAACAATGGGAATGTACTTAATGCCACTAAACTGAATGCTGGAAAGTGGTTAAGACAGTAAATTTTATGTTAAGTGTATTTTACCACAATTTTTTTAACTCTAATCAAAGCCTCTTGATGAGAGGCCTTGGCCAAAACAAAAGAAAAATAAAATTATGAAGAGAGTGATGAAATGTTAACCAAAAAAATAATTAAAAAACAATATAGATGAACCTTAAAAACATTATTCCATGAAGCCAGATACAACAGGCCACGTATTTTATTATATGATTCTATTGGAATAAAATATCCAGAGTAGCCCTGGCCGGTTTGGCTCAGCGGTTGGAGCGTCGGCCTGCCATACAGAGAAACCCGGGTTTGGTTCCCGCTAAGGGCACATACCTCGGTTGCAGTTTGTCCCCGGCCCTGGTTGGTCGTGCGGGTGGCAGCCACTCGATGTGTCCCTTCACATCGATGTTTCTCTCTCTCTCTCTTCCTTTCTCTCCCTCCCACTCTATCTGAACAAAAAAATGGAAAAATGTCCTCAGGTGAGGATAAAAAATATATATATATCCAGAGTAGGCAACTCTATAGAGAGGAGGGCATATTGGTATTTCCCCAGGGGCTGGGGGGAAGGGAAATAAGTATACATTGGTGCAGATTTCTGTTGGAAGTTCTGGAACTAGATGGTGACGATGTTTGTACAACATTGAGAATGTACTTAATGTACTGAACTGTACACTTTAAAATGCTTAAATTGTTGAATTTTATATCATTTGTTTTTTACCACATTTTTTCATTTGTTTGTTTTTGTTTTGTTTTTAATCTTTATTGTTGGATGTAAAATGTATTACAGATGTTCCACATTTTTCCCCCATTGACCCCCTCCTCCCCACTCCCGCCCCCCTTCCACCTTTTCCCACACTATTGTCTGTGTCCATTAGTTATGCATAGAAGTTCTTTGGTTTATTTCTTCCCACCCCCCCCCCAACCCCTTTCCCTTTGAGGTTTGTCAGTCTAGCAATGAATTTGTGCTTCTTAATCCCTTCACCTTTTTCACCCATTCCCCCAACCCCCCTCCCAACTGGCAACCAACAAAATGTTCTCTGTATCTATGAGAATGTTTCTGTTCTACCCGTTCATTTTGTTTGTAGATTCCATTGTTGATAGATATGTATTCATTGCCATTTTGTTTGTTCATACATTTTATCTTTTTCTTCAAAAAGACCCTTCATCATTTCATATAATAATGGTTTGGTAGTGATGAACTCCTTTAACTTTTTCTTGTCTGGGAAAGTTTTTATATGTCCATCGATTCTAAATGACAGCTTTGCAGGATAGAGTAATTTTGGTTGTAGGTTCTTGCTTTGCATCACTCTGAATATTTCTTGCCACTCCCTTCTGGCCTGCAAAGTTTCTTTTGAGAAATCAGCTGACAGCCTAATGGGAACTCCCTTGTAGGTAACTAGCTGCCTTTCTCTTGCTGCTTTTAAGATTCTCTCTTTGTCTTGAACCTTTTGCATTTTGATGATGATGTGTCTTGGTGTGGGCCTCTTGGGGTTCATCTTGTTTGGGACTCTCTGTGCTTCCTGGACTTGTATGTCTGTTTCCTTCACCAAGTTAGGAAAGTTTTCTGCCATTATTGTTTCAAACAGGTTTTCGATTTCTTGTTCTCTCTCTTCTCCTTCTGGCACCCCCAAGATGCGAATGTTGGCATGCTTGAAGTTGTCCCAGAGGCTCCTTACACTATCCTCATTTTTTTGGATTCTTTTTTCTTTTTGCTGTTCTGATTGGGCATTTTTTGCTTCCTTATATTCCAAATCGATGGTTTGCTCCTTGGATTTACGTACTCTATTATTGAAGCTGTGTAAATTATTCTTTATTTCAGTTAATGCCTCCTTCAATTCTAACTGTGTATCCATGATTTCTAACTGGTTCTTTTTTATGCTCTTGAGGCCCTCCCTAAGTTCACTGAGATTCTCACTAAGTTCATCGAGCATCCTTATAAGCAGTATTTTGAACTCAGTATCTGTTAGGTTGCTTCTCTCCATTTCGCTTAGTTCTTTTATTGGGGTTTTGTTCTGTTCTTTCATTTGGGACCTGTTTCTTTGTCTCCTCATTTTGGCTGCCTCCCTGTGTTTGTTTCAGTGTATTACTTAATGAGAGGTATGGGGCTTGCTGAGACCAGATGCTGCTCGTTTGAAAGAATTTAGGAAAAACCTGAAGCAGGATCCAAGACCGGCCAATCCTATGGTTAAGCAAGTGGCAACAGCTTGGGTGGGCTTGAAAGTTGGGTGGGGTGGGGCGGGGCCTCAGGGAGTCAATAGGGTGGGGCTACCAGTGTGAGCCAGGTTGCTGGAGTCCCAGATATGGCGGCTGTCTGCTGCCCCAGGGAAGGGCTCACCAAAGGAACAAAGGCCTCTTACAGCACGTTTGTCCCCAAGAAAGCCCCCTCTCCAGCCCTCGCTCCAGTGCCAAAAAGCTCAGTTCTTCCCTGTATGTCTCTGGCACCCGTGGAGCTGCCTCTCCTCCAAGTTAGAGGGAGAGAGTTCGATAAGTCCGTGCGCGGGGCCCTTTAGGGAGCTGCCTGGGGCTCCAGCCGCTTCAGCCTCCCTGAGCCTCAGTTCCCGCTGGTTTTTCCAGCCAGAAGTTATGGGGATTCTCTTCCTGGCACTGGAACCCTGAACGCCCTGCGGCTGCCACCCCACCCTTCGTGCCTCCGCCCCTCCTACCAGTCTGGATGTGGCTGCTGCTTTAATTTCGTAGTTGTAGGACTTCCATTCAGCTAGATTTCAGGAGGTTTTGAATGATGGTTGTTCTGTAGTTTAGTTGTAACTTTGATGTGGTTGTGGGAGGACGCGATACCGCATTTACCTACGCCGCCATCTTGACTGGAAGTCTTTACCCCATTTTTTTAAACGGAAGGAAAGAATACAAGAGAAAGGAGGCCAGGGTCAAAAGCAAGGGAAACTGAGGATCCTCTCTCACATCTGTTTTTTAGTCCTTTTTGTAAACCTTTCAAATCCAGAACCTACCTCTTCTTAGGACTAACATTATTTCCATTCTTCTTTCATTTTGTGTCAGGTGACACCCAAAAATGCTGGAATCTTCTTGGCAAATGCCGCCGCAAATGCTCCAAGAGGGAAAGGATCTACGTTTACTGCACAAATAATAAACTGTGCTGTGTGAAGCCCCAGTTCCAGCCACAACAAAACACATGGTCATTTTGAGTTCTCCGAAGCCTAAAGCCATAAAAATGAAGACGAGCTATTCTGAGTCGGACCCCCGAGGAGTCCTGAGTTCTGTCAATAAACACCTCTGGCTGATTCCTGCCTTCGCCTGTCTGTCTACACCCCCCCCACCCCCCCACCCCCTGCACAGTTCTCCAGAGGTCCCCTTTCACGTAGTCGGTGAAGTAAAAACTATTTTCATAATAACAAAAAACATTATTCATTTTTTTCAATCTCAACCATTCACAAGTGTGCAGTGGAATTTTCCGGACTCTACATGATATCATTGTTCTGACAGCTAATGAAAGGTGTGCTTATGTATTCTTATGTTTCTAGAATTTATTAAGGTAGAAGCCTTAAAATATGAGTGTGTTCACTTTTAGAGATTAATTCAGGTTGTTCTCAGTAATTCTACTGTGCTCTTACTAGCTATCTTTAGTTATATTATTAATCTCTGTAACCTCATTATTATCTAATAAATTATTACTTTGAAATTTTAAACTTTTCCTTATACCTATCTGACACACTATAAGAATTAAAAACATTTTGTTGTCTTGGTTTGCAGAGGTATATTAACAACCAGTACCAACTAACAGAAGGAAGGATATGTTCTCCCTGAGTGAAAAGAATTATTCTAGTCTCTACAGTTCTTCAAATACAATTTCTAGTACCCAATAAATTAAAAGACATGCACAGAAAAGGTAAATATTGTTAAACTAAAAATCAGTTACAGACTGAAGAAGCTTAGTGAACTCCAAGAATGATAGACACAAAGAAAATCAAATAGAAGCATAGCTTAATCAGGCTGCTAACAAAGAAAAGAAAAGGTATATCCCAATATCTGTGAATATTTCAAACAAAACATGTTCAAAAATTTTATGAAGAAAATTAGAAGCCCTTATTGAACGATAATATAGAAAGCCAAAATTAGTAGAGAGATATACCATGTTCGTGAATTAGATGACTCAAAATCTTAGAGATATCAATTCTATACCAATTGTTTCCTAGATTCACTGAAATTACAACAAAAATCTTTTTTTTTAATTTTCCCAGAATTTGATCAAAGTTGTGCACATATAAGCAAAAAAATTTTTTTTTTTTTTTGGTTTTTAGTATGTGCCCCTAGCAGGAACCGAACCCGGAACTCTCTGGTCCGCAGGTCAATGCTCCAACTGCTGAGCCAAACCAGCCAGGGCTAAGCAAATATTTTACACAGACATAGATGACAAAACTATTAATAAAGCACAAATTTAAGTTAATGGCTAACTCTAAGAATATAGAAATTAAAAGAAGTAATGCTGATGTATATTTTTTTATATGGATGATAGAAATAGAGATATTTTCTGTCGTATTGTTTTTATACTTTTATATTTTTTTTAATATTTTTGCCTTCTCAGTATACAAAACGTTTTTTTAAAAAGAGATAAAAGCTATGAACATTAAGTGCCTTAAGAACTGTGAGACCAGAAAAAATGAAAAAGCTCAATCAGTCAAAAAAGGCCTAGTAAAGAAGATACTTTAAAATCAATAAAATTATATGTCTTATACAGGATTTTTTTTTTCAAAATATGTAAATAACTCTCAAAACTCAATTAAAAAAAAAAAAAGCAAACAGCCCAGTAACAAAATGAGCAAAGAGTTACTTCATCAAAAAAGTTACATATATGGCAAATAAAAATTTATAAATATTAGAGAAATGCAGATTAAAATTACAATAAAATATTACTGCACACATATTAGAATGTCTAAAGTTAAAACAATTGACCATAACAATTGTTGACAAGGAACAAGTGTTGGCAACTGAAACTCTCATACACTGCTGGTGGGAATGTGAAATAGTACAACCATGTGGAAACAATTGTGCAGCTTCCTAAAGAGTTCAGTGTACCATATGTTCTAATTATAACTGCACTCTACAATATTTGCACGAGGATGAAAACATCTAACAATGCATTTCTCAGAATGTAGCTCCATCCTTAAGCAATGCTAAGCAACCTTATTGTGAAGTTAAGGGTTTGGGGTTTTTTTTTTTACCATGTCCTAGATCTACTGAACCATAATTCCTGTAAAACATATATCCATTTGTTCATTTAGTCAAATACAAATATTTATTGATCATCTGCTATTTGCCAGGCACCATGTTAGTCTCTAGTTAGACAATGTTAAATAGAACAAACATGGGCTTTGCCATTGCAGAGTCTACAAACTATGGAGGAAAAAGCATTAAACAATGAATAATTTTATAATCACATATGATGGAAAGGCTATGAAGAGTATAGTAATTGAGAACAAGGGTGGGAAGATTATGAGAGAGGTAGGCGTCCATGAGCTATCAGGGTAACCCTCTCTGAGGAGGTGGCATTTGACCTGGGATCTGCAGGATGAGAACTCATGTTTGCAAAGAGTTGAGGAGTTTGCAGAATATTCCAGGTAGAAGCACATGTATAGGTCTTTTTGAAGGAGGGTAGCTTGTTCCAGAGACAGAAAGAATGGCATGTGACTAATGCCTGGTGTGCAAAAGAAGAGAAATCCAAGATGAGATTTGCAAGGCAGACAGTGTAGCAGACCCCACAAAACTTTGATGTTTGGATTTAAACATTTAATACTTTATGTATTACAGTAGAGGACTGTCTGCCTTACCTCTAATTGCTTCTATTTACTCATAGCTTCTGCTTCCTCAAATTAAGCTCTTCTCTACCCTTCCTCCTACCACCCACTCTTCAACTTTGACTTTTACGAAGGCAATGTTTCAGCTTCAACTCCAATTATGAACTACTTTACTCTCTGTATTTCCCAATTCAAATCCTTGGAACAGAGAATCTGATTAATCCAGTTCAACATTTTGTACTAACCTGTCTCATGTGTAGGTTGCTGCCCAGCCTATGGAATTAGGTTGGTTTGGGGAAGTGCCCAACTCTTGTCCAATCAACTCTGTCTGAGGCATAGAGGAGAAGGGCTTCCTGGTCTGCATATACCTTTCATTTCAGCGAAAGCTATTCACAGGGCTAGAAGAGTATAAATTGAAGAGACATGTACAGTGTCCCATGTATTCACTTTTCTATGTATACTTGTAACGGACTTCTATAGGATAGAATATGTCTGCTCCTTGCCTCATGAAACCCTGAAACCTTATACTTAGAGGGAAATGAACATTAATAAAAATAAACTTTCTTGGTGGAATTCTGAGGATGGGGACAGCCCCTGTCTCCATCTCCTCATGAGGCCCCACCAATCTGTTGACATTCACTGGGTCCTACTGAACCCAATGCTTCCTTTCAATAATAAATATTTCACAATGCCCCCTTAATGTCCTAAAATACAATTCATAAATATAACCTATCTACTCACATAATTTAAAGAAAAATCTAAATAAGAGCTAACTATAATATAAAGGAGGAGAAAAGAAACTTTTATAATAATATGTATTTTGACATGTAAGTACACTTAAAGACCAAATGAAATCGTCAGATCTTGTACTTATACACAGCGTGAGTGTAACAGCTACAAACCCAGGCTTAAAAGGGTGCGCTGTGTGCTCACTTCAAATACTACCCAAAGTGTTTGTTGTCTGCATCCTGACTTTCCAAAATGGTGAACATCTTGGGCAAAATCCTAACCAGAACAAAGTATAATCATCTCTCGATTTACAGTTTCATTTCAGGAAAATTCAATGTGCAGCCAATACTTGCAAAACAGCCTTAGATTCTAGGCTCAGGATTATAAGTGGGTTTCTCACCTATAAATGTCTAGCAGGACATTTGAATTTTGTTTGGGAGACAGATCAATACTTCATTTTCCAGGGCATTCTCACACTTTGCATTGCCACCTAACATCCTAGTTCCCCAACCTACTAAATTCCAGTAGGGGCCCCATTAATTTTGACAATCAAAATATGACACCAGCAAATTTCCTAAACAAGCCCTAGAGGGCAGTATCTCTCCTCTGATGTAGCCATTAGCAGAGTCCTCTTCCCCCATTCTTTCTCTGAGACAAGGAAAGCTGCATCACAAGCGCAAGTAACTTACCCAAATTCAACTACATGTGCTCAGAAAAAGAGACAAATAAGGTTTTTAGATATTTTTTAAAACGTTTTTTCTCACTTTTTAAATCAACTTAGTTTTGCCTTTCTTAAACTTCGTATAAATGGAGTTGTTCAGTATGTACACCTTGTATTTGGCTTCTTTGGCTTAATACAATTTTTTTTTCAGTTTAGCAGTTCAAAAATGTCCCCCCTTTTTCCCCATTGACCTCTTCCTCTCCACTCCCACCCCCCTTCTGCTTTCCCCCAACTATTGTCTGTGTCATTTAGTTGTGCATATAGGCGTATAAGTTCTTTGGTTTATCTCTTCCCACCCTCCCCCCCCCCCCTTCCCTTTGAGGTTTGTTAGTCTGTTCCCTACTTCCATGTCTCTGGATCTATTTTGATCAACAGCTTATTTTTTTCATGATGCTCCATAAATAAGTGAGATCATGTGGTACTTGTCTTTCTCTGACTGGCTTCTTTCACTTAGCATAATTCTCTCTGGGACCCTCCATGTCATCTCAAAGGAAAGAGATCTTTCTTTCTTACAGCTGCATAGTATTCCATTGTGTAAATGTACCACAGCTTTTTTATCCATTCATCTACTGATGGAAACTTGGGTGGTTTCCATATCTTAACTATTATAAATAACACTGCTGTGAACATAGGGGTGCATATATTCTTTCTGATTGGTGTTTCAGGCTTCTTAGGATATATTCCTAGAAGTGGAATCACTGGGCCAAATGGCAATTCCATTTTTAATTTTTTGAGGAAACACCATATTAACATAATGTTTTTGAGATTGATTCATGTTGTGTGCATCTGTAAATTGTTAGTTACTGTTGTTTATTAAATAGGATTGTACCATATGCATGTAACTCAATTTATCCATTTACTTGTTGGACCTTTGAGTTGTGTCCAGTTATGAGATAATATATGTATAATATAAAGCTACTCTAAGCATTAATAGAGAAGTGTG